TCCTTCCCTTTCTTCCTTCAACTACATTGTGAGTGGCATGTCACATTATTATATAAAGCTATATATTCCCACCCCATTAATATCAGGAGGCACTGTATAACTCACTTTAGCCAACAAAATAAGGAAAGTAATGTGTATCACATCTGAGCTGAATCTCCAATAACTAGCTGGTGGTTTGCCATGCCAATTTTTCCCTTGCCAGGAGACCAGCTATGTTCCTAGCAGAGGGTAACTAGTCAGGCTAAGTCATGGTATGATGATAATGTAAAATAGTCATAGCAATTTGGACAGATATGTGGTATGAGTGAAAAATACATCCTTCTTGGGTAAAGACATAGAGATTTTGTTATCATAGTTTATCCCAGCCAATACTGATCAGATGGCTAAATAGCCTGAATTTGAATATTAGTTCTACCAATTACTGGCTGAGTTCAAATTCAGGTCTGCATTTATTGTGTAAACTTAGCCTCAGTTCCTGCAAAATAGGATTTTTAATGATGTCTAGCTCATAGGGTCATTACGGGGAAAAAGTGACTTAAAAGACTAAATGAGTTATTTGTAAAGGGTTTAGAATAGTGCCTAGCAAATATTAAGTACTGTGTGAATGTCGGTTAAATAAATCTGAGTGGGCCAGGTGAGGTGGCTAATGCTTGTAATCCCAGCACTTTGGGAGGCCAAGGTGGGAGGATTGCCTGAGCCCAGGAGTTCAAGACCAGTGTGGGCAACATGGTGAGACTCCTATCTCTATAAAATGAAAAATGAATAAAAACAAATGTGTGTGTATATGTATGTGTGTTGTCTATTAAAAAAAGTCTAGGAGGCATACAACAAAGTATTAACATCGTGAATTTAAGAATTTTCTTCTTTTTGTTTAGCCACATCTTTTCTACAACAAATATGTATTTCTTTGTAATTAAAAATGTGTATTTGGCCAGTTATAGTGGCTCACACCTGTAATCCCAGCACATTGAGAGGCTGAGGTGGGAGGATTGCTTGAGCCCAGGTGTTTGAAACCAGCCTGGGCAACATGATGAAACATCATCTCTACAAAAAAATACAAAAATTAGCTGGACATGGTGGCATGTGCCTGTAGTCCCTGCTACTCTGGAGGCTGAGGTGGGAGGATTGCTTGAGCTCAGGGAGGTGGAGGCTGCAGTGAGCCATGTTCACCTGGGTGACAGAGTGAGACCCTGTCTCAAAAAGAAAAAAAGTGTATTAAAAAATTCCAAACTACTTTTGTATTCTTTTAAAAAATTGTAATTTAAAAATTATCACTTTATTATAATTTCATTATATCACTTTACAGAAACATCTCTTTACAGAAACATTTTTTCATGATGAAAAAACATTTTCATCATGAAAGTCAGTAGAAAAACAGGTTTCAGTATGTGAAAGCTCTATTAATAGCAATTTTCTTGAAGCATGGAATGGGAAAATCCTGTAGCCAAAATCTGTGGAATGAAACTAAATGTTTAATTAGTGTTATTTACATATTATCTTGCATATGTGCCCTGAAAATGTTTTGATATCTAATATGACTGAAATGTGTCTCCCAAGATAAGATAAAGTAGTTTAGCCATTAATAATTATACCCCTGTTTCTGAGTCAGGCTCAAAAGTCAATGAAAGATGAGCTGTGGTTTCTAATATTATTACAGCCTTGGGAGAGAGAGATCAGTGAGCAGTAGCCTGACTTTTGATGGAAAAAGGCGAGGGTAAGATCAGGTCACTTGTTGGGCTTTTATCATTGCAACAATCTTCCTGCTCCCTGCATCCAACTCTTTTAATTCTGGCTGGGAAGAAACATTGGCAAGGATTTACATAGAAAAGCAATGCCTGAAGAGCAATCACAATATCCATATCTCTTACTAGCCACAGCCATCACAACTGGAGAATGCCACGCCAAGAACAAGGGTGGGAGAGCAATGGGGTCCCCTTTCTATTTTTCTGAGACAGGGTCTCACTCTGTCACCCAGACTGAAGTGCAGTGGCATGATCTCAGCTCACCACAACTTCCACCTCCCAGGTTCAAGCGATTCTCCTGCCTTAGCCTCCCTAGTATCTGGGATTACAGGCATATGCTACCACCACCAGGCTTATTTTTGTATTTTTAGTAGAGACAGGGTTTCACCATGTTGGTCAGGCTAGTCTCAAACTCTTGACCTCAAGTGATCCACTTGCCTCAGCATCCCAAATTGATGAGATTATAGGCATGAGCTACCACGCCCGACTCCCCTTTCATTTTTCTTCTCCATACTTACTAGATAGGCTTTTTGTTTTTGGTGGTGGGGGTGGGGTGTACCTTGAGTCACCTTGGGAGGACTGAGAAGACTAGTCTGGATGGTAGACATTTTATAACAGATACCTAATTCCAGGGAGGTCAAGTCTCAGAGCGGAAGGATGAATGACATTAAGCTAGTGGGAGGGGTAAAAGGAGGTTATTCTAAGTACAGGGAACACCATATAAAAAGCTCAGGGTAATAACATCAAAAAAATAAAATCATAATAAATGAAATAAATCCTCTACACAGAAAATTACAAAATATTTTTGAGTAATTAAAGGAGAACTAAACACATGCAAAGATATCTTCATAGATTTTAAGATTCAGTCTCGTTAAGACATTAATTTTCCTCAAGTTAATCTGAAGAGAACAGGCAATACCAAAAATCCCAACAAGCTTTTTTGGTAAAACTTAAAAAAGAAATTGATAAGCCAATTCTATGATTTATCTGTGGATATAGTGGATCCAGAACAGCCAAAATAATCTAGAGAATGAAAAATAAAATTGGGAGACAAACTACCTGATTTCCAGATTTACTATAAAGCTACAGCAATCGAAACAAACAGATGAATGGAAGATAAGAGAATTCAGAAATAGAACCATACATACAGATCAACTGAATTTCAACTGAGGTGCCAAGGCGGTTCAATGAAGAGAGGAAGGGATTTTTATTTAATGATGTTGAAACAACTATATATTCCTCAAAACCCACCTACCTTTATATGTGAGTTTGATTTGAGATCGATCGTAGACCTAAATATAATAAGCTAGGACCATAAAGTTTCTACAAAGAAAATCTTAGGAGAAATCTTTATAACGTCAGAGATGGTAAAATTTATTAGAAAAGACACAGAAAATATTAATCATTAAAGTAAAAGGGTAAATTAAATCTTCATCACAATTAAAACATTCATTACGAAAATAAGTAGGTAAGCCACAGACTTGAAAAAACATTCTCAATGTGTTTACCTGACAATATTTAATGGGAATATTCTGTATCTGATTTCAGTGATGGTTGCATGTGTATATACAGTTGTCAAAACATCTCAAATGAATACTTAAAAATCTGTTATTGTATTGTATATAAATTAAACCTCAATTAAAAGAAGAAAGTCCAGAATAAAAGAGCATGTTGTTATCTGTAGGCACAAATGACTAAAATACTCAGGGCTAATGGTTAATTCTTTTTAAAAATTTTATTCCAGAAAACACAATTCCAATATGTCTCCCACCCCAACCCATACTGCCCTGTAAAATATTCCTACATTTTAATCCATAGTAATGATCAATGAAAGTGCTTTCTCCTCATGATACATGTTTTACAGTGGTTGAAAACATTAAAATAAATCTCATATAGAATAAACTGAGACATGTAAAAGTTAAAGAATTAGCAGCATTGAGAGAGGATGCATCATTTGTCTTTTAAAATGTTGGCTGGCAGAAAAAGAATTTAGTTAAAGAGAACTATTCAAATAAGCTTCCATATTCTGCACTCCTCACACCACTAATAAGTTTTACCCAGAAATATACCAATAAAAATGATTGATATCTGAGTAACAAATTCTGTGACAACACATTGTAGTATTACATAAATAACTTGGCCAGCTGCGGGGGCTCACGCCTGTAATCCCAGCACTTTGGGAGGTCGAGGCGGGTAGATCACATGAGGTTGGGAGTTTGAGACCAGTCTGGCCAACATGGAGAAACCCGATCTCTACTAAAATTACAAAAAAAATTAGCCGGGCATGGTGGCGGGTGCCTATAATCTCAGCTACTGGGGAGCCTGAGGCAGGAGAATGCAGAGGTTGTAGTAGTGAGCCAAGATCGTGCCATTGCACTCCAGCCTGTGCAACAAGAGCGAAACTTTGTCTCAAAAAAAAAAAAAAAAAAAAAATTCTTTAATCTTTTTCTTCTAGATGATTTACTTCCATAGGCAAAACATTATGTCTTTTGCAACTCATCTTTGAATTCTAAAGAATCTAGGCCAAGGTCCTGAAAATACTGGACCCTCAAATTCCACATTCCCATAATAGGAAATTTATTGCAATTATTAATAATTTGAACCAGTGATGGTCTCATTTGGTAATTTATGGGAAATTCATTCATTCATTCATTCATTCATTCATTGGGAGTCTGGGTCTCGCTTTGTCACCCAGGCAGGAGTGCCGTGGTGCTATCATGGCTCATTGCAGCCGTGATCTCCTGGGTTCAAGTGATCCTCCCACCTCATTTTTTTAATTTTTTTGTAGCACAGGCTGGTCTTGATATCCTGGGCTCAAATGATCCTCCTACCTTGGCCTCTCAAAGTGCTGGGATTATAGGCATGAGCCACCATGTCTGGCAGAAATATATTTAAAAGGAGTATATTAAATGCTATACAAGTTCAACTAACCCCAGCTTAAAAATAACTATAATTACCTGACTAGATTTTTTTAAAGTGATAGAAAAAGTACAATTGTTAAAAATATATTTAAAAAAACTCTACTGAGTCTACTTTCAGTCCCCATGTGAATATTTAAGTAAGTATAAAATAAAGGCTGTAAGTGCACTGTTTTGAATTAAACATCACATTGGCAAGATCAGAAGAGCTTGTGAAGTGAGAAGGAAATTGTTATTCCTGTGATGGAACCTCCACTGGTATTATTCTTTTGGCAGCCGAGACTTCAGGGGATTCTCACTATGAAAACCAGCAGTCCTTTAATCATACATTGTAAGAGCATTTGTGATGCTTTGCAGGGAGCCTTTCTTCCAAGATTTTCCTATTGCTTTCCTTCCTGAGCACAATAGGTTCAAGATGGCTAATGCTGTTTCCTAGTTATGCCAAGAACCTCCTGAATGCCACTGGGCATCCAACGTGAAGACGGATGGCAAAATATCAAATGTGAATGTCTCATTTTAAATGGGGACTCCCACAATCATGTTATTTTTGGGAGAGCAGCTCTCTGGCTCCATGGATATCACTTGAACGGAGTAGCCACATTCTTCTGCAGCTCTTGCTCGATCCAGATCCACCAAGCACATGCACTGTTTTCCTGAAATACAGTCAAATGGTATTATGAGACACCCTTTCACTAGCAGGACAATTTCAGCTTGTTTAAGGGAATTTATACAGTGACAAAATCTGCAGGTACTATGGAGCATGCTTTGTACCCTTAAGTCTTGTTTAGTTTCTTTCAATTTAATTCTTGATCAGTGTGGAAAGACGATGGTGACAAAAACATGGCACTTCATATATTTGCCTCTGCTAATAATTTAAAGAATGTTAACCTTTTCAAATGTATTTATAAGCAAATCTCAAATTAGAGCCTCAGACTGTATTTCCTACTTTGGTTAAAAATACAATTAAAGACCTTTTCTCTGCTTTCCCTGTAAAACTACATTATCTGTAAAGTTGTGGGGAAAAAATTTGCCTTTAAGAATATTTAAGGCCGGGCGCGGTGGCTCAAGCCTGTAATCCCAGCACTTTGGGAGGCCGAGACGGGCGGATCACGAGGTCAGGGGATCGAGACCATCCTGGCTAACCCGGTGAAACCCTGTCTCTACTAAAAAAATACAAAAAAACTAGCCGGGCGAGATGGCAGGCGCCTGTAGTCCCAGCTACTCGGGAGGCTGAGGCGGGAGAATGGCGTGGACCCGAGAGGCGGAGCTTGCAGTGAGCTGAGATCAGGCCACTGCACTCCTGCCCGGGCGACAGAGCTAGACTCCGTCTCAAAAAAAAAAAAAAAAAAAAAAAAGAATATTTAAGACAACATGCTGATTAAGGGGTGTTAGCTTTTCCAGCTGAAGTTTTTTAGGGCTGTAAAGAAGTGAGAAATGAAAAATACTTGAGAAAATTCTCAATTACATGCCTTTTATTTCAGGTGGAAATGTAATGTTGAATGTAGTATACTCTTAATTTTCCGAGCTCCTGTACCTCTATAAAATAGTGGTATTGTATTTCCTTTACAATCTTTGGAAGACAAAAGAGGAAACCTGACTGACAAGAAAAGCAGTTAATTTGTTTTCCTTTGGCAAACACAAACTTTAAAAGTAGCTTGGGAAAAATGATTTGGGGCTGAATATATTCAAAGCCATGCTTTACTTTTATATTTTCAATTGCTCTAAATTCAATATATAAGCTTCTTCATCCTCCTGGAAAAAGATCAATGACTATGCAGAACTTCATTCGATTTTTCCTAAACAATTATAATAATGCGTCAACACTGAATGATAGTGGAAACTGATAAATTAAACAACTTCAGAAATGAAGACAGATCACCAAAATAGGAAAGTTCTGTGAACAACAGAATCCTCACAGAAAAAAACAGTGAAAGGTGAAATCAGTAGGTAAGAATTAGCAATGAGAGACTCACATTTAAAATGTTTATTTTGTACATTTTCCTTAAAAGGGCCCATCCCACAAAGAATAAACTGTGTTAGAAATGATATAAAAAGGGATGTCTAGAATTCCATTTAGGCAAAATCATCGCTGCTTCATTAACAGCCTTATGGCTGACATTCCTTTTTTTCCCTTAAAATATTGTCTTTCCTTTAAGACATCTGTAAATGTTTCTCCCATCTACTTTTTAGTTTAAAATGAAACACTCTCTGTCAGAATGGGATGCTCTACATTCCTTAAGTACCCACCCGGGGTTTACATTGCAGCTCATTTACCCTTGGCTTTGATCCCAGTCCAGTTAATTTTTCCTTTTCCATTATGTAGAAGAATTTCATGTTTTCACATGTTGAAGTGTCTCTACAACTGAAATTTAGCTGCTGGTAGTCTACCTTTGTGGGCCTGGGGAGTTTCCTAAAAATGTTCGCAGAACACAGGAATGGCCTGTGTAAAGCAGAGATGTAGACGTGACAGCTTTCTCTCAATGTGATTCCCCCTGTTCTTCCCATTGCCAAAAGCCCCTGCCCCCTGCCACTCTAGCAACTTCCCTGCCAGCTACTCCCCTTTAGTTTGATACCTAAGACACACATCTACCACGTACCCATCCATCCACCACACTAATTATGTCTTCATTGGATTGCTATCATTTGAATGTATTCTCTGGAAAGCATGTGTTGGAAATTGAATCCCCAATGCAATAGTGTTAGGAAGTGGGGCCTAATGTGAGGTGATTAGGCCAAGAGGGTGGAGTGAATGAATTAATACCATTATCATGGTAGTGGGTTCATTATCTAGAGTGTGAGCTCCTTATAAAAGGACAAGTTCAGCCTTCTCTTGCTCTCTCTCTCTCGCCATGTGATGCCTTTCATCATGTTATGATGCAGGAAGAAGACCCTCACCAGATGCCAACCCCTTGATCTTGGATTTCCTAGCCTCCAGAAACGTGAGTCAAATAAAAATCTGTTCATTCTAAATTACCCAGTCTATGGTACTGTGCTATAGCAGTGCGAAACAGACCAAGACATGGGTCTAGTGAATGGAGTCTCCTCAAATGTATGTTCGATTAATTCAAAGTGTTGGAGATGGGAAAAGGAGGAGCAAGAAGGAAAGGCATTGAAAGACAGAGGTTGCAGGCAGGAGAGAATGAGTTATTTCCAAATGTTTATGCTGCAGACAGTGAGAAAGAGAAGGAATCACTTACTCCTTCAGTCTCAGGTCTCAGGCCACCAAGTGTGAGCATCTTGCTATGCTGCCTTTGATTTTAGAGTTTAAAGATAACTATTTCTCATACAACTCGGTCTCTGAATGTAAGCTAACAGCTTCATCTGGTGCTCAGCCAAAGAAACAACAATCTGTCTTCTAGTATATCATGGAGGAAAAGGGGCTACATTGGAAATTTAGAGAAAAAATATAATGGTGGCCAATGTTGGGCTTCTCTGAATAATTTTAAGATGAGTTTTGGCTGAACCCACTTATCTTAAACCCTGATGTGACACCAGTATGCTGGGAAGTAGTAACTAAAGTGGACAAGAACTTCATGTCCAGAATCAAATAATTTGGGTTCATAGTATAGCTCCATCATCTACCAGAGGAAGGAACCCAGGCAAGCTTTTGTCTCAGTTTTCTTATCATTAAAATGTAAATAATAGTACTACCCCATATGTATATTTGTAAGAATTTACCGAGATAACAGGCGAGAACATTTAGCTCAGTGCTTAAATGTATAACTATTAACTGCTATTATTCTTTTAAATGTGATTTCTTTTTCTAAAGTGAAGTCTTCAATAAATCAATTACTTATTAAACTTGAAATGTTTCTGTGGTCTTCCAATTTAGGTAATGTTTAATATTGTCAAACAAATTGGTCTATGATAAATGATACACAAGTATCCTTTTTCCTGAGAAAGAAAACATTATCATCCCTGTGTATACATTTTATAATGCATCAATTTTGGTGTATATAGTTGACTTTTTAATCTTTATTATTTTCTTTCATGGCTTTTGATAGATCTTGCAGTTTGATCATAACAGTAAGAGATTTAATGTAAGAATTCTACTCAATGTACAAACATTCAAAATACATTTAAAAGTATTAAAGTTAACCAAAATAGGATAAAATGTTATAGTTACAATACCCTTTTCAATATGAATTAAGTTTTTGGGAGAAGAACATATTTAGTTTCTCATTGAAAAATAGACTTCATGTTGCTAAATTTTTCCCATATAGACTTGGTCCAATCATTCCCAGTCATATTGTGCATAATACACTCAACAGCTGCTCTGTGAAAACACATACCTATGAGCCTTCGTTGGGGTGGGAGCTGGACAGCTGTCTGGTCTGCAAATCTGCACAGAATCATGTGTTCCTAAAAGAAAAAGCAATAGAATGTGGGTTTATTTTTATCTTCTGCTTCAAAGTTATAAAAACAACCACCAAAAAAACTAACTCATTTTTCTGGAGTTCAACATTGTTTAATTGAATAAAGTACTGCACAAATAGTATTTTTGAAAAAAGTAAACTTTCAGAAGATGCTACTTAATAATTTCTTCCCTTCAAGTACACTGTATTTTTTTGTTTTGTTTTGAGACAGTCTCACCGTCGCCCAGGCTGGAGTGCAGTGGTGTGATCTCAGCTCACTGCAACCTTTGCCTACCAGACTCCCAGTGGTTCTCATGCCTCAGCCTCCGTGTAGTTGGGACTACAGGCACATGGCACTACATCTGGCTAATTTTTTGTATTATTATTATTTTTCTTTTTTAGTAGAGACGGAGTTTCACCATGTTGGCCAGGCTGGTCTCGAACTCCTGGCCTCAGGTGATCCGCCCGCCTTGGCCTTCCAAAGTCCTGTAATTAACAGGCGTGAGCCACCATGCCCAGCCGGCCCGGATTTAGTTCTTAAGAATAGAGGCACAGAAAATTCTCAGGGTTATTTTGCCCAGTTGCTTTTAGCTGAAATATAAAAATATAGTTACATTTTGCTATTATAATGTGCTAAATTAAAAGACCAAAAATTCACTTATATTTTTCTTTTATAAAATTTATTTGCAACTCTGGAATGTGGTTCCAGGCAGTGGCTTTTCTTTTCTGTTTTGTTTTTTTTTTTTTTTTTTGAGATGGAGTTTTGCTCTGTTGCCCAGGCTTAAGTGCAGTGCTGCAATCTTGGCTCACTGCAACCTCCATCTCCTGGATTCAAGCAATTCTCCTGCCCCAACCTCCTGAGTAGCTGGCACTATAGGTGCACGCCACCATGCTGGCTAATTTTTGTATTTACTTTTTTTTTTTTTAGTAGAGACAGGGTTTCACCATGTTGGCCAGGCTGGTTTCGAACTCCTGACCTTGTGATCTGCCCACCTTGGCCTCCCAAAATGCTGGGATTACAGGCATGAGGCACTGCGCCTGGCCTGCTAAGTGGCTTTTCATTCTATCAGAGGAAAAGGAAGCAATGCAGATCTCTGTGTGGTTTCTGTAGTTTTCTGGGATATCCAGCAGGGTGGTAGCGAGTTCTTGACTTGTCCTCAGTCCTTTTAGAGGAGAGAAGCCTGAATCTCTTTCTCTCACTCCAAAAGGCTGCAGAAGTGTATCCCTTTCTGCTTTAAGACAAACTGTAAAGACAGCCTGAGGTAAGCACCTGATTATTACTTCTGCTTAACAATCTTAGGAAAGAGTGCATTAATGAAAAAGAAAAGAAGGCTTTAAAATCAGTTGATGATTTTGCACAGTACTCTTAAATCTGCATGTAGCCAAAAGTGAGTGATTAGGCAGAGTCAAAATGAAACAATGATCCCACGACAACTGTTCATTCAGAACAGCTGTTGTTTCTAAGTGTGTACATAATCTCACCTGTCAGCTTAGCAAACAGGTTAAACTCAGATTCATCATTTGTTCCTTTAGTATTCTGTACATTAAATTTGAACCCTCCATTTTAAATAAGTGAAATGACTGTGGCAATGTTGGTTTTTTAAAAGGGGTATCTTTGTCTCAACTTGTATGCTTTAAAAAAAAATTAATGCTAACTATAAAATTTCATGACAATGGGTGAGAAACTAATAAAATGGTTTCAATTAATAACTTTAACTCCCCACAAACTAACAGGCATCAATGAAGGGAGAGAAGGATAATTCAGAATTACATGACTTGAAGAAACAGTGTGCACTTTGTCCTCATGGTGTTTGTAAATTAAGATTCATTTTATATAACGGTAATGTCAAGGCAATCGCAATCTCAGATAAGATTCAGTTCTCTTGTACTGATAAGTCTCACCATATTTTATTGGAATTATTTGTGTGTATGTTCTCTTTGGTCAAAATCAAGTTCTGAAAGGGCAAGGCACATGGTAGGTACTCAGTAAAGGTTGCTGTCTAAATTGAACTATAGAGAAAAACACTTCCTAAGTGAGTCTCAAGGTACTTTGGCACAAAGTTCTGAGGCCTTCAAAAGGCCAAGCAGCTTTTGGGGGTGTTGGAGAAAGAGTAGATAAAGGTTATGACTGGTGTACTGGGGAGTTTCTGCTTTCTGAAAGACGGTGTGTGCCCCGTCCCTACTGTAGAAATTTTATATTCTTTTCTAGTCAGGAGACCATTAGCAGCCTATCTCTTCACCACCCTTGATTTTTTCCATACATCCTCTCATTGTTTAGTTTAACTAGTATCACTCAAGGAGGAGTGATATTAGATTAGAAACAGGGGTCTAGTTTTTGTTTTCCCAAGTTCTTTTTTCTTTTCCTTCCTTTTCCTTTCTTTTCCTCTCCTCTTCCCTCTCCTCTCCTCTCCTCTTCCCTCTCCTCTCCTCTCCCTTCTCCTCTCCCCTCTCCTCTCCTCTCCTCTCCTCTCCTCTTCCCTCTCCTCTCCACTCCTCTCCCCTCGCCTCCCCTCTCCTCTCCTTTCCACTCCTCTCTCTTTATTGAGACAGAGTGTCACTCTGTCACCCGGGCTGGAGTGGGAGTGCAATGGCACAATCTCAGCTCACTGCAACCTCTGCCTCCTGGTCTCAAGCAATTCTCGTGCCTCAGCTTCCTGAGTAGTTGAGATTACAGGTGTGTGTCACCATGCCCAGCTAATTTTTGTATTTTTAGTAGAGACGGGGTTTCACCATGTTGGTCAGGCTGGTCTTGAATTCTGTTCTCAAGTGATCTGCCTGCCTTGGCCTCCCAAAGTGCTGGGATTACAGGTGTGAGCCACCGCACCTGGCCTGTTTTCCTAATTTATTTTCTACTTTATTGGCATAGCCTTGTGAGAGAAAGGTGAGATGTTCCAAATGCTATGCAGACAAAGTTTCTTGGGTCCTAATGTTTCCTCCAAAATCATATATTTCCTAAAATATGTAAAGTTTTAATCTAGTAGGCGAAGGCCAGCAATGTTGTGGTTTTGGCTGAAAGCATGAACACTAAAGGTTCTCCCCCTCCATATCTGTGCATATTTGTACAGTGTGCGGGGTTGGTAGGAAGGGAGGAAGGTGTGAGTAGCACATGAGGTGGTAAGAGACAGAGTTGGAAATGGGCATTTGAGTTATAAAGCAGGAATGAAGGAGATACAGCTGCTGAGGTGGTAACAATGCACATTTTTAGGTCACTATACCTCATTATATTTCAACTATTTGATGGAAGAGAAAGTTAAAGTCCTAAAATATAGGGGCTGGTATGTAAAATGAGTCTATGTTTTTAGTGAGTCCGTGCAAAAAGTGGCATTAACTAAGAATCCAAATGAATTTATCAACTTCTAATGGAATTATTTATATATTTTTCTCAAATATTATCATTTCTTAAATTGTATTATATCATGCTATTGACCAGTTAATTGGATAGTGGTGATGTTTAGGAAGCTAGAAACTGTTTTGATCAGATTGGTGACTAAAAACTATATGTGTTCTGACTACTTCTGGAAGACAATTCTCTGTGGGTCTCTTGTGTTTCTTCATGTTTTACAAGCAGAGACACTGACTGTCGTTGTTCCAGATCAGTAGTCAGCAAGGTTTGGCCCACAGGCCAAGTCTAGCCTATGACCAGTTTTTGTGTGGCTTGTGAGTTAAGAAAGTTTTTATATTTTTAACGAGTTGTAAACCAAGAACAACAAAAACAATAAGAATGTCAAGGACAGTGAAGAGGAATACTTGGAGATTTGTTGTGGCCAGCATAGTCTAAAATATTTACCATCTGACCTTTTATAAAAGAATTTTCCTCTGTTATAGATTATCTTTTCAAGCACATTTGCAGAGTAAACAGCCTTGGAAAATATATAGTATCTCCCCTTGGAATAAAAGGGCAGGTGTTACCTGGCCCATTTGCTTCTGCCCTGTGGGAATTGGGTGGCAGAGAGTCAGTGTGAAAACAATGGTATTGTGGCTACCACTACTGCCATGAGCAACAAACTGTCCTTTGCCTCTGACTTAGGGGTCTCATATCTTCTGCCAGCATCCACTGGCAGGCTAACTTGTTAGACTGCGAGTAGAGTTAAAATGTCAGACCCTTCACAAATCTTGTTACCTACTTGAAGAGTTAATCTGGATTTGCAAAAGAGAAAAAGAAACCCATAGTAGACATTCATGAGTTATTCAATTATAACTATAGATTATTTACTCCACTAGAAATATGAGAGGGAAAAATATAAAGGATAAAAAGTGTATTAGGATGACATCTAGATCTTTTTAAGGTTACCTTGTATGATAAAGTTTTCTTGAATTGCTCACTGAAACAGAAAAAAAAAAGAATTAGTCATCATTCTAAATATTAAGAGTAAAATAATCTTGAAAAAACTAAATTATATAGTCTTTGTATGTAAAAAGTATAAAATGCTATGGTAAAGTAAAAACTATGCCAGTTTGAAATGCTTTTATAAAAAGATAGAAAAGCGTATCATCAATATGTTATTAATTTTAAGAAATCTATTCCACAGATTGTTTACAATGTTAGAGAAGCACTTTTTTTGTCTCTACACCTCATGGGAACACTAAGATCCAGGTGTTTTAACATGTGGCACAGCCAACTGATCAGGAGAGGACTGCCATTGAAAAGATACTTTATTACTCACAGTTCCCCAAGAAGAGGGGGCACGCCATGTGATGAAGGGCCACATGGGGAAACACCAGTATAGGTCAGGAGGCAGAGGTTTTCATGGGAAGAAAAAGGTGAGGTAAGCAGGTTTGAGAGTGCCTAGTTTGAACAGTATCAGTGAAGTCAGGCATAGCGCTGTTCCTACTTGTTTGATATCTGGCCCTAGGGTAGTAGGGCGGGGGGATAGTGGTCTGGAAGTAGTAAGAGTTTGATAAAGGAGGTAGTTGTGGGGTAAGGGCTCTGGGTTGGTTGGTTTACTTATGCAAGGTATGCTTGTTCATAAGACCTTTACTATCTCTAGGAATTGGCTAGCCCTGGGAGGAACAGTCTCTCCAGGATCCGCAAATAATAAAACATCAGAAAATTTAAAAAGGTGTGATTAATACATCAGGAAATCACTGTTGTCATAGCTAATAAAGATAAACATATATTCCATAAACATTGTCTTTTATTAATGCTATAGCCTTCACTCTTAAGTCATTCAAAAACATTAACTTATACATTTGATACTAAATTTATTAGTGTCAATTAGTTTGTTTGAAACGAGTACTTCTTTCCACATACTGTAGAAACAGTTTGCTATTTATAAATTCTCAACTCTATTTTTGGTGATTGAGATAGGTCTTATTCACAAAGAAACTTCCTAAAGAGATCAGTTCAAAGGACAAGGGAGGACAAATGTCAGTAAATCTATATAGGTGTGAAAAAGACAGGAAGTGGTAGTAACATACTGTAAAGGTCACCAAACGTTGAGGCCAAGCCCAGGCACTGTGGTGACCTGGCCAGATGTGCGTGCACTCAAGGTGGTGCTGACATGCCAGTCCCCACCCCCGCCTCAGCCGCCTCTGGACTTTGGACGCTGATAAGCATGAGAGGGAGGCCAAGGGGGGACTGAGGGCAGCTTGACATGGGCCTGTAGGCACCCGTTGGCACAAACAGCCTGGGTGCCATGGGCACCATGGATGGTAGGTTGACGGCAACAGGAGGCAGACAGGCTCCTAGGTAGAAAGGGGCAGATCCCTGGTGAAGCCCCACCATCAACTGAGGAATGGCCCGAAGCCTGGGGCCCAGGCTGCCAGCTCTGTGGACCAAAGTGAGAACTTATAGTGCTTTTTCCAGGCCCACCCATGGCCACCCATGGACCAATCAGCATGCACTTCCTTCCCTCTGGAGTCCATAAAAACCCCAGACTCTGCCAGACTTGGGCAGACAATGGATGACCTGCCTGCAGAAAGAAGCTACCCACTCTGGATCTCTTCTCTGCTGAGGGTTGCAGAGATGATGGGATGGGATGGGATGGGACGGGACGGGATGGGATGCCTGCAGAGAGCAGCTACCCACTGTGGGTCTCCTTCCATCTGAGAGCTGAGTAGACATTGGGATCATTTGCCTATGGAGAGAAGCTACCCTCTGTGGGTCTCCTCTCGGCTGAGAGCTGAGCAGACATTGGGATGACTGTCTGTGGAGAGGATCTACCCACTTTGTATCTCCTGAGAGCTGTACTGTTGCTCAATAAAGCACCTCTTTGCCTTGCCTATCCTCCAATTGTCTGTGTACCTCATTCTTCCTGGATTTGGGACAAGAACTCAGGAACTGCCAAATGGCAGGACTAAGAGATGTAACACAAACAGGGCTGACATGCCCCCTTGCCCCCAAATATACCCACTCGCCATGTTGCAAGCATGAGGAGAGAAGAGAGGAGAGAAGAGATGCGGCCCTTCAGGGAACCCAGACATAGGAGCTCCCTGAGCCAGGGCTGTGACACCCTCTGAGGGGCTCTGCGGCTCCTGGCATTTCCAAGCTTCTGGTTGCCACCGTGCTCCCTAGTGCTCACAGTGGAAGCTGCTTTCAGTACACCTGGTCCGGCTGCAGCCTCACAGGGAACCAGCACCTATACTGGTGCCCGGAGATGCCTGCCCCACAGCAGCCAGCATGCCTGGCTGTGTGAAGTGGCCGGACCCTGTGCTTGCTCATTCATGTACCCCTCACCACTCTGTACCTGACTCATCTTTGGCAGGTGTGGGATCTGGGCTGGTAGTGCAAGCCAAGAGCAGCCTTCTAGGCTGAGTGAGCGGAATGAGCCCAGTGGCCCAAGCAAAACTCAGGCAAAGGTGCCACCAACCACAGAGGTTCCAGCTGGCAAAGCAATGCCCCAAGAATCCTGTGACATTACTACCATTATTAGCAACAGTTCATATTTATTGAGTACTTATTATTGCCACTTCTAAAGGCTTTACACATATCATTAAATTTTCACAAAAACCTTGAGGTAGTTATCATAACCCTCATTTTGTAGATGAGAAAACTAAGGCAAAAAGAGTTTAAGTAATTTGCCTTATAAAATGATAAGGAGCTAGTATTTTCCCCCAGGCACTATACTTCCAGGTCCTAAACACTTTACTGTACTTGACTGCCTCTTTTAAATTTATTCAGAAATACAGAGAGAAGTGCTAAAGCCGACAAACTTCTAGTTGCCTGACTCCTGGATAGCCTTGCTTCTAAATTTCAGCAAAAACTGGATCCAAGGGAAAAATAGGGACAAACATAAAGGAGTTCTTCTCTTCCTTATACAATTTATAAACAATATTTGGCATTGTGAAAAGAGAAAATGAGCTCCAAATGAAGTCATTGCAACTTTATATCAAACAAGTTTTGTGTCCTGGCTTATATCCATATTGGTGTCTTAGGTAGAACACTAAATTTCTCACCTTTTTGGAAAATTAAACTTTGAGGTGTTCTGAATGAAACCATAACAGCAAGGGCATGTGACGAAGGAAGCCCGTGTTTTGATACAGTGCTCAATCACCATGTCTGTTGCCACTCCACAAGCATGCAATGCTACCTAGAAAATAAAACCAGGCCTTAGCACTAAGTTCCCTCTTAACTCACAGTGCGATTTTCATGCCTTTTAAATAGTTCTCATTTGGCCATACCAAAGGACTACTTAGCTACACATATAAATTAATTATGAAAACTAAGCGAGTTTGAAAGGTTACACATGGAATATTGCAAATAAAGCACAGGATTCATTCAACGGAAAATCTGATGCAATTTTAGTGTGGAAAAATTAACACAAGTGGATATCTAAACTATAGCATCATTCCGGGAACACTGGATCTGAAACGAGAATTTTGAGTCTATTACTCTGGTTGGCTGTGTAACCCTGAGCCACTTAAAATTTAGCTTCTTTGGGCCTTAATCTCTTCAACTATAAATGATGGTTAACAATACTGACATATCACAATGCTGTTGTAAAAATTAAATAAAAATGTATTTGAAAACACTTCCTCAAATGCCACATTAATATAATCCAATCAGGGCTGTATTAAAACTAATTGAGTCATATCATGTCATGCCTTTTAAGATGTTTTCACATAATAACAATCCTTAACATTGAATGATGAGTTACAGGAACTATTTTCAATGAGTTTATTTTAAAAGGATTGAATGAAATTATGAATTAGAATAATGAGTGGGGCTTCTATAACTCATAAAAATAACTCAAAATGATTTTTAAGTGTTTTTAAAACACATATCCTTAAGTATATCTATACTTACTACAATACTACTACAAATGAGATAATTATGAAAATTCTTAGGCCAAATAAAGCCTAAATAGGACTCTGAATGAAAATCAGACGTAGGGATTCTAAAAGATGAATAACCTTTACTAGATTTTGGCAAAACAAACAAACAAAAAACACCAACACCAAAAAAACCCTCACATCTCCATTTCATTCTGAACAGACATAAATTGTAATAAATTATAATCTTCCCTCAACAACTTCAGGGTAGGGAGGGGCCCTTAGGGTAAAGAGGAGATTTTCTGTAAATTTTAGAAAGTAATTTTTTTTTTTTTTTGAGTCAGAGTTTTGCTCTTGTTGCCCAGGCTGGAGTGCGATGGCACAATCTCAGCTCACCGCAACCTCCGCCTCCCGGGTTCAAACGATTCTTCTGCCTCAGCCTCCCGAGTAGCTGGGATTGCAGCATGTGCCACCATGCCTGGCTAATTTTGTATTTTTAGTAGAGATGGGGTTCCACCATGTTGGTCAGGCTGGTCTTGAACTCCCGACCTCAGCCTCCCAAAGTATTGGGATTACAGCGTGAGCCACCCCACTCAGCGAACGTAAAATATTATAAGCCAGATGCCTCCTTTGAACTGGAAAGCTAAAAACAATACTCTATCAGGAAGAGGAAAGCAAGATCTCTGTTCTTTTTTATTTATTTATCTATTTATTTATTATTATACTCTAAGTTCTAGGGTACGTGTGCACAACATGCAGGTTTGTTACATATGTATACATGTGCCATGTTGGTGTGCTGCACCCATTGATCTCTGTTCTTAATTGTCCTCCTGAATTCCTCCTCCTCCTTCTAGACTTACATGAGCCACATAGAAGTCAACAATCTCCATGTTGCTGTCATCCCACCTTTCCTGTTTCACTCTGAAAACAGCCTAGGAAGGCTGGTATCCAGTAAAGGCAGCAACAACAACAGGGAATTGGGAAAGTAAATAATCTTTATTTCTCATATGCTCCTGTTAGTCAGCTTTTTAGAGTAAAAAACAGGCTAATCCTTATTTTCATGACTAGTTGGAGAAAAATTTCATAGTAAAAATTATAGACACATCTTCCCCTGGAAGGAAAGCAAACTGACATTTACTGAGTGTTTATGTGCTGGCATTATGCTATGTGGGGTGATGGCACTCAGAACTATGCTCACAACATCCCTGAAAGACTTTATTATCTCCAATTTAGATGTGAGGAAATGAAGTCTTGGGAAATTAAGAACTTGCCCACAACAAAACAGCTACTGAAGGGCAGGAGACTGACCTCAAAGCCTGACCCCATGCATCAGACAGCTTCTCTACAAAACCCTGTTCAGGCTCTAAGCAGAAAGGAGTTTAGAAAATTTACTTTTATAAGTCTCTCTTTACTTAGGTTCACATTCCTTTCACTACATGCAAAAAAGTGAGTTTATTTCCTTCATTTAAAGAAAATAAGTAACTTGAATAAGTATTTACACAATAGTTTATAGATAATGTAGTAATTGTCTACTAATAAAAGGTTTTACTGCATCACATACTCCTAGTTTTCACTGTTATCAAATGAAACTCAGAAATAACAGGCAAATAATGAAGAGAGATATAGACCAAAAAAACCATTTGCTATGGAAATTTATCATACAATAAAGGTGGTATTTCAAACCAGAGAGAAAAGGTGGACTTTTTTTTAATAAGTAATGTTTGGTTAACCAGATAGCCATATAAAAAATTAAAAATTAGATCTTTTCCTCTCATCACACATGGGAAATAAATTTTGAATGCATTAGAGATTTAAAATGCAATAAATATGAGTAAATTCCTGCACAACCAAGGGGAATGGGATGTAATTCCTAACTAAGCTAAAAATCTACGTGCAATAAGGGGTAAGGTTAATAAATCTGACAAAATAAAATTTATTTTTATTTATTTATTTTTGAGGATGCAGTTTTGCTCTTGTCACCCAGGCTGGAGTGCAATGGTGTGATCTCGACTCCCTGCAACCTCTGCCTCCCGAGTTCAAGCAATTCTCCTGCCTCAGCCTCCCAAGTAGCTGGGATTACAGGTGCCTGCCACCACACCCAGCTAATTTTTGTATTTTTAGTAGAGACTGGCAGAAAACCAAACCATAAGTAAAAAGACAAATGACCAAGTAGGGAAAAGACTGACAACTTAAAACACAAACAAAAGATTTATATCCTTAATATATAACACACTTCCAAAAAGAAAGAAAAAGCCCAATAAAGTGAGAGTAAAATGAGCAAGAGATGTGAACACACATACAAAAACAAGCAAATAGTCCTTAAACAAAAACTGGTCAATATTGCTCCAAGTAAGAGAAATAACTGTTAATTTTTTTTTAACAAAGAGCCAAAATTTAAACTCAATCTGTCTCACTTCAACCAAACTTCTTTTTTTAGTTCTCTATGCTCTGTTTACTCTTTTCTTTAGATATGGGAAGTAAACAGGAAGTCACTGACTGGACTTCTGACCCCGCTCCCACATTAACTTGCTAGGTGACTCTTGTTTTCTGGTAGCCTCAAATTCTCCATCTGTAAAAGCAGAAGGTTGAACTGAACGATCTCTGAACTTGCCCCAGCCCAATCATTCTCTCTGGCGTTGCTTTTCGAAGAAGTAACTATAGATACCTTAGACAGAGAAGCAGGCTAGTCCCACCTGTGTACTCTTGTTCCCCTCTTTTAAAACTTTCATACAACAATATTATAGGTAATCAGCTTTAAAATTCAAATAATGCTAAAAGGTAGGCAATTATATTAAAAGCCCCCTTTTGTACACACTGCCACACCCCTGAAAGAAAATCTGTGTACCAAAGTCAATGCTGTTCAATTCATTGGTTTACTTCCTGAAAATCTGTTTTTCTATATGATGAATGTATATTGATATCTCTTGATTTGTAAATATTAGACATTATTTATTATCTTTCTACTAGGAGAAAAGAGCTTTTGGCTATTTATGCACATTTATACACTATCTTCCCTTTTCCCATCTTTTCTCATGGCTTTGTATATACTGTTCACGGCTGAGGGAAGAGTGCTGGATATCTGCTTGTTTTTTTAACATTCAAGTCGTTCCCTGCCCAATAGCTCTGTAAAATGCTCTACAATATAATTTTCCACTGTTTGAAAACTTTCAAATAATTGGTCAGCTCCATTTTTCTTTCCTAGAGACATCTTTCCTGGGCTTTGACGTTTTACTAAAATATGGACTCAATGCTTTCTAGGCCTGTTGCCCAGCTCTTGCCCTAAGACTTCCGTCTCCCGTGATGCTAAAAAATTTTCTCTTGTATTGGATACCACTTAATCCTTTTTCTCATTTACTTTCTATTTTAATGAAGCACATTATCTAGTAGCTTGCTGAAAAGGGGTACGTACAATTTCCATTTTATTGAGACCTTGACTGTCGAATTTTTCTTTATTTTACTTTTTTACTAGATTGATGGATTAGCTAGGTATAGAATTTGAGATTAGAAATTTTCTATTGGAATTTTCGAGGTGCTGTTTCACTGTCATCGAGCCTTCCACACTACTATTAAGAAGTGTGATAGCATTTTGATTATAAATTATTGTATATCACTATTTTTTTTCCCTCTGTGGAAACAGTTGGGGAAATCTGTTCACCCTTGGTGTTCTGAAATTTCACAATGTGCCTTGGCTTAGGCTATTTTGTAAGTTAACTTTATCAAGAGAAACGCATTCTTAATTATTAACACATTTTCCTATATTTTCTTTGATGTTTTCCTCCCCACCATTTACCAGTTTTCTTTTTCTGGTCCTGCTATTACTGAGGTATTTGATTCCTGGACTAAATCTCTAATTAAAAAATTTGGTTCTTTCCAGTTTCATTTTTTCTTCTTCATTTTTTTTCAAGTGGTATGCTATATTTCTTTTAAAAAACACATTATCTCTTAATTTTTTATTTGTTTTCAATTTTGGCTAACATACTTTTATTTTTCAAGACATCCTTTCTGATCATTCACTCTTTTTCTATTATATTCTTATTTCACTAATGTATTATCTTCTCTTGTCTCTCCTTGACTAAGACCCTTTATCATGTTTGTTGCTTTGGTCTTGATATGGTTTGACTATGTCCCCCCCCAAATCTCATCTTGAATCGTAGCTCCCATATTTCCCACGTGTCATGGAAGGGACCCAGTGGGAGGTAACTGAATGATGGGGGTGGATCTTTCCCATGCTGTTCTCATGATAGTGAATAAATCTCATGAAATCTGATGGTTTTATAAAGGGGAGCTCCCCCGCACATGCACTTGTCTGCCGCCATGTAAGAAATGACTTTGCTCTTCATTCGCCTTCCTCTATGATTGTGAGGCCTCCCTAGCCATGTAGAACTGTGAATCAATTAAACCTCTTTCCTTTATAAATTACTCAGTCTTGGGTATGTCTTTATTAGCAGTGTGTGGACAGACTAATACAGGTCTCTATCTTCCATTTTGGAAATATTCCATGTTTGGTATTCCTTTAGCTGTTCATATTAAAGAATAAACCACTAAAAAGTTGATTGGAAGTTCTGAATGAAAGCGTAAGGCTTTGAAAACTAGTGGGTTTCACTAGTGACTGGGTGATCAAAAAGCCTGGACAGGTGCTGCAGTATCTGTAGTTCTTTTCTCTGGGGACAGTTCTGCTTCTACAGGGGGAATCTTTTAATCCTGATAATTGTGGAAATGATCCTGTTTCTGTGGTTCTGGAATTAGAAGGCAGATGGGTAGGGAAGAGATCTATCCGTCAGTATGCAGATTCTCATTTAATTCTTATTCTTGGTATGGCACATCACCGTTGCCCTTCTCTATGCCTGATATCTCTATACTTGGTGCCTCTCTGGTTCAGTTTCTTCATAGAATAAACTTCCTGTCTCTCTTAGTAGCTGGGGAGAGGTAGTTTCTTGTTTACACAAGATGAGAGCAGGAATCTTGTCTCTAAATAATATTTTTAATTAAACATGATTTCAATCCCTCCCTATTCATTTCCTCTGAGGTTTCACATGTCCTGAATTCCTAAACTTTTCTGGGATTCTGTGGGAGCAAAGTGGTTTGCGTCCTGACAGCCTTCTTGCCACTCCATCTGGCATGCATTTCAACTTTATCTTCCTTCTCCTCTACTCAATAGCTTACCATTTTTCTTCAATCTGCTTTTCACCTTCTTACTTCATATTGTAATTCAAGTTATAGAATGTTGAATATAGCTACATCATAGATAAAGTTTGATTTTTCTGATTCTTGTTCTTATTTAGGGATCTGAAAGTTTTCGGGGAGAAGTGGGGTTGAAATACCTCTATCTGCTATTTTCATCTCAGAAGTCCCCTATTTTGCCTTAATGATTTTTAGAAAGCATGCCTGTAGGATATATAATTTCTCAAGGTCCTTATCTTTTAAAACAAGGATTATATAATTACTCATCAAAAATGTTACGAAGTGCAGTCTATAATTGCATGCTTCTTTTAATTGTACACTAACATACCTACATGAATAGAAATGAGCTTATAATTAAGTAGTCAGCACTTATGAGTCATAAACAATAATTAAAAATTATGTTGTGGGCAAAACAGCAAAAAGCAAATACCAGTAACTAGAAAATAAAACTGTTTTTTGAGATTTTCATATACATGTTGATGAATAGAAAGGATTCACCAATACTGTTAGAAATCAGTACCTTATCATCTGGTTGAAATGACTGTTTGTTATTGTTGAAATTTTCCAACTAAACATGTTGGTGGCAGGCTGTTTAGCCTTCATACAGTTTTTGTTTTTAATGGAAAATGAGCATTTTTCCATAGTCATGGCCCTTTATGTAATACTATTTGCAAATAAGTATTTGTAATATTGTTTGAGAGCATGGGTATTAATACACATATTATAAAACTTAATAACTTAAAAAGACTTAGTTGTTTCTAAGTCTTAAAATTCTTTCATTAAAATCTTGTTTATACTATTAATTTTTATATCTAAAGAAAAATCGTAAATGAAAAAAATAAAGCATTTACTAAGCAAAGATAAATGCTAACTAAGCCCTTACTGAAATATCACAAAACCATGAATTTATGCAGTTTTAATGCATATCTAATATCTGGTTATTCTGCTTTCTTCTCTAGCCACACTATTTTTTAAATTTGTGTGTGTGTATTTTACTGAACAGCCACACTATTTTTACTGGAATGCATTTAACACAGGAGTTAGAACCTCTGATGCATTTAGTCTGATTTACCTAGTGACAATACCTCAATTACTCTCCTAGGCAAATTATTTTCTTCAGAGTGAATCTACTTTTAATTTAACCTTCTAAGCAATTTTAATCCATTTTCTACACACCTTGACAAGGGTAATTATGAAAGGAAAAAAGTCATTATAGATGTATTATGAAATGTAGAGAAAAATTTCACTTCCAAAGAGATAGATATATTTTTAGTTGGTGTTAGTAAATTATACACTTGGAAGTTACAAGAATATACTAGAGTGATTTCGTATCTGTAAGTCATGAAGGGCCAAGAGACAGATGGACCAGACATAGGCTGGAAATTCCATGCTTTGTGAGGTAAATAAATGTGTAGCAGTCCACATTTACTTGCTACCATTCTGTCTGGTGTACTAGTAATACCTGGACTGGTTTAATGGCTTGTTTCATGGGAGAAGCTCTAAACTTTACCTCAACATTTATGTAAAGTTAAAGCTGCACAGGTATATTTTTAATTTGAATTTTCTAGATTACATGTCTACATTTTCCTGAATTTCCTTATTAATAGCCAGGCTTATACAAATAGAAGTAAACTGTAGATCGTGTCTACAAAGGAAACAAATAGCATACTTTTTAGGTTAAAAAAAAATTACAATAAACCCCCAAATTTGCAGTAGTCAATATTTAAGAAGTAAACTTCACTGGGTAAAAATCAGAAATACTATAAAAGGTCTGAATTACTTAAGTTGATAAAAGTTCTACCTAGACAACCCCATGTTTATATGAACATATGTAATTAGAAAGGATGTCAGTAAGAACCTTCCTGGAAAGTGGTTTGGCAAATGCATCAAAATTCTTAAAAGATGCACAAAATATCCATCATAGTAATAATTGCATTATAACAATGAGAAAATAAAAGTATGATTAAAAAGGTAAAAGACTGTATTCAGTCAATGCAGGATCTATGTAGTATGGTCTTAACAATGTTCATATATGTGTAAAATATGCATTTATATGTATGCATAAATATATAAACACTAAAGATTTTTGATAGTATTTATCACTTGATAATAGGCATATAGGTTATTTCTTCTTTATATTATTATATATTTTTCTGTATTGCAATCAAAATGTATATTCCTATCAAAATCAGAAAAAAAATTATTTAAAGCAAATAGAAATAGCAGCAACACTAACATGTTCATAAAACTCAAATTCTACAGGAAAGAATAAAACCCTGGGGTTTAATGCTCAGGCAGAAATACATATCTTAGGGATTTTTCATAATATCAGATAATAACAATTGGATCCAAAGGTTTAGAAACATGATAATATACTTTCTCTCTTGGAATCTGAAAATACATGTAAATATAAAATCTTAGCTAAAAAACATCACAAGGCAATGCTTGTATTTAGAGATTACTAACAAGTTATTTTTCTTTTCTTCTTTTTTCTTTTCCTTCATTGTCTTCTAGAAATGCAGAATAAACCAAGGCAAGTCATGTTCATCAGAATCAATTACTCAATTATTAACCAGTTTTAAGCACTTGCTACTGGGGATTCTGTAGTGAAGAAAATAAAGTTCTGGTCTGATAGAGGAGCCAATGTTATCTCTATTATGTAATGACGAAGTGCTATGAATAAAATAATATTCATTAGTATGCTATATTTCATAGATAATATAAGTATACAAAATTATAGATTTATTTGTTTAGAAAAGAACACAAAATTATCTTTATTATTTACTCTAAGGCATGTAATTTTTCTTATTTAGCTAATTAAAGAAATTGAAATTACTTGATTACTTACTCCAATATTAAACATCCCAGTAAAATATTCCATATTTGCTTGAATGAACCAAATGTTGCTTAAACCCAGTTCATCACTTCTCTTCTTAGCACGAATTAATGATAATTCCTTGTTTTCTATTAATGTAACCTAGATTTTACCCAGAAAACAATAGTATATTTAGTAACATAACTCAAACATTAGGCAAAGCATTATTACTATATTTCATATTTTTAATAATTTAGAACATATTATATTGAGCCTCTATTCTGTGGCAGGAAGTATGTCACATAATCTGGTACAGAAAGGAAAATTAAAGGTCCCTGAATTATTCTTACAGCATAGTGATATAAGTGAAACAAGCAATAATAATACAGTGTAGGCCAGGTGTGGTGGCTCACACTGTAATCCCAACACTGTGGGAGGCCGAGGCAGGCAGATCACTTGAGGTCAGGAATTCTAGACTAGCCTGGCCAATATGGTGAAACTCTGTCTCTACTAAAAATACAAAAATTAGCTGGGTGCAGTAGTGTGCGCCTGTAGTCCCAGTTATTCGGGAGGCAGAGGCAGGATAATCGCTTGAACTCGGGAAACAGAGGTTACAGTGAGCTGAGATCGCACCACTGTACTCCAGCCTGGGCGTCGCAGGGAGAATCTGTCTCAAAAAAAACCAGCAAAAAAACAAAAACAAAAACAAACAAACAAACAAAAACCAACCAATGGGATCTCATTAAACTAAAGAGCTTCTGCACAGCAAAAGAAACTACCATCAGAGTGAACAGGCAACCTACAGAATGGGAGAAAATTTTTGCAATCTACTCATCTGACAAAGGGCTAATATCCAGAACCTACAAAGAACTCAAACAAATTTACAAGAAAAAAAACAAACAACCCCATCAAAAAGTGGGCAAAGGATATGAACAGACAGTTCTCAAAAGAAGACATTCATACAGCCAACAGACACATGAAAAAATGCTCATCATCACTGGCCATCAGAGAAATGCAAATCAAAACCACAATGAGATACCATCTCACACCAGTTAGAATGGCGATCATTCAAAAGTCAGGAAACAACAGGTGCTGGAGAGGATGTGGAGAAATAGGAACACTTTTACACTGTTGGTGGGATTGTAAACTAGTTCAACCATTATGGAAAACAGTATGGCGATTCCTCAAGGATCTAGAACTAGATGTACCATATGACCCAGCCATCCCATTACTGGGTATATACCCAAAGGATTATAAATTATGCTGCTATAAAGACACATGCACACGTATGTTTATTGCGGCACTATTCACAATAGCAAAGACTTGGAATCAACCCAAATGTCCATCAGTGACAGATTGGATTAAGAAAATGTGGCACATATACACCATGGAATACTATGCAGCCATAAAAAAGGATGAGTTTGTGTCCTTTGTAGGGACATGGATGCAGCTGGAAACCATCATTCTTAGCAAACTATCACAAGAACAGAAAACCAAACACCGCATGTTCTCACTCATAGGTGGGAACTGAACAATGAGATCACTTGGACTCGGGAAGGGGAACATCACACACCGGGGCCTATCATGGGGACGGGGGAGGGGGGAGGGATTGCATTGGGAGTTATACCTGATGTAAATGACGAGTTGATGGGTGCAGCACACCAACATGGCACAAGTATACATATGTAACAAACCTGCACGTTATGCACATGTACCCTACAACTTAAAGTATAATAATAATAAATAAAAAAAAAAAAACCAACCAAACAAAAAAAACAAAAACAAAACATCAAAAAATAATAATAATACAGTGTGATAAGCATTAAATGAAAGACAAACAATGTCGACGGGAGCACTCAAACTTGATGACTATTTTCATGGGGAAGTAACATACTAACTGAGGCCTAAACAATGAATACAAATCAGTTGGGGGAATGGAAAAGTATTTTAGGGAGAGAAACACACATGAAGGCCCAAGATGACAAAGAATATGGCGTGTTTGAAGAACTGAGAAAATTGGTACCCAATTTCCAGGGCACAGTCTGTAATGTATGGTATGGATTGGTGGGAGCAAGGCCAGAGGGCAGAGAAACCAGTTAGGAGCCTCCAGTGATAATCTAGGCAGAGAAGATGGTTTGAATGGAGAAAAATGAAAAGAATTAAGTCACTTTCATCACTATTATTCCTAGTTCTTATTTTGTTCTTATGCTTGTCTGTAAGAAAAAATCTGTTTAAAAAACCTGATACTTGATATGAAAGGCTTTCCTGACTCTATTCTAGACAAGATTACTCATTTTTGGTTCCAACCTTTCTAAGCTTCCAGAAATATTAATAAGGGAAGAAAAGATATTACATCCCTGACTCGGCTTCTCAGAATTTTACTCTGTGAGCTCTCTTCCTCCTACTCAATCACAAAATTGTTGCTTTACTTAATAATAAAACAAACACCTGCCTCTTCTCCCAGGATTCCTTATTTATTTTCCTGTTTATTCTCTAAGCAAAGAAAAATAAAAGAATGCTGTTCCCTGTCCCCTTGTCATCATTCTGTTACATGTTATTCTGGCCAGTCTATTAATTCTTCCACATTTTTTTCCTCCCAGAAGTATTCACTGTAATTAGTTCACACCTTCCAGAGGGTTCACAGCAAAGACTCTGTTGCAGTTGAGTTTGTATTAAAAACAAAACAAAACAAAAACAAAAATAAACAGACTTTTATGCTAAAAAGTGGTCACAGTGAGGAACTGATTTAACATGGCAGAGGACTAAAATCAGCAAAAAATTCTAAGACATTGTGGCAATGATTGAATACATTATGATATATTTACTTGAAAATATATTTGGTACTCTCTGAAATATGATGATATGTAAAACTATTAGCAATAGGGAAAAACATTTATGATACAATATTGAGTGAAAGCAAGGGACAAATTTTGTTTGCATCTTTAAAATTTGCAACAATAAGCATCCATATGGACAATGACTTAATGAGAATAAGAAAAGCAAAGCATTTTGATGGATCAGGTATTGTAGGTTTGGGGTTTTTTTTTTTTTCCTTAAAAAATTTTGCTATTGTTATAATTTCGATGCAATGCATCTAAATCAAGATACCAAAAGAACATGCTCAGCAAGTTTCAGAGGTCAGTATTTCCATTTAAAATTATGTTGAAAATTAAACTAGTTGAATCATAATTATTTTATTTAGCAATAAAATAGCTATTTCTTTGAAAAATTACTTAAACCTATAAACCTCTTAAAAATTGATAACTGTTTTATGATCTTACTTTACTTTTTTTTCCTTAAGATTCTGAGTCTTGGAAGTTTATTTGAAAGAAAAGACAATGCCTGTGCCACATATTTGACTTGGGTGATTAGAAACCCCAGGGATAAACCAAATGTGGCCAGCTGAACTGTATAGTTTTTAAATATTTCCTTTTATCTCTTATTCTAGCTTTACCTGACATGATGGCAGCATGTGAGCAAGGACAATTCCAACATGGCCCTGAAAAAGTCAGTGAGACAAACAAGTTAGCTTTGGTCCCCACAGCTTTTCCTCATTCTGAAACCACAATCTTGCCAAATAAAAATGTGACCTTGAATATAATATAGAAAAGTCTCATAATCTTAGAAAGACTAAAAAGGATGAAAGGAGAGATATAATACCCCACCGCTGCAGAAATCCACAATTCTGTCACCAGGTTTGGCCTGATTTGTTACCACATAGACAAGGTTGTTCAACTGTTGCTGCTTCCTCAAAGCTCGATCACTGGACATTTTACCTGAGAAAGAGAAGACATAAAGAACACAAAACATTATATATTTTGAGGGAACAAGAAGACACACTTAAAATAGGCTACCAGCATAGAGGAGGAGGAAGGGGGGGAGCATACACACACATACATACATATAAAAGAATAAATGATGAATTCCATATAACAGACTATGAGGACTAGAGGACTAGAACCTGAGATGAACTTTATTTTTGCTTGTTTTACTTTTATGTCTATTCAACATTTCTTTCAATAGCCATTGAAAGAAAATCTATGGGGAAAAATATGTCTTTTAAAGCGTGGAAACAATAACTGAAACACTAAATTTAGGGTCATAAACCAAGTATCCAATAAATGTTGGCAGAATGGAAAAAATAACAGTAATTGTCTTCTCCCTTTATCTTTTTTCAGAGACATATTTTAAAGAGTACCTAATTTCAACACATTGCTTAATCTCCTTATAGAGAGATCCATAATCAGTAAAAATATTTTTATTGCTTAATTGACACATGCTTGAACTCTTGATTCTTCTGTGTAGGACACTGGGAAACCTTGAAACATAGGTGTTGCATTGTCTGAAATAAACAAATGGTTATTGTATTTAGAGAGAAATTAGATTTTCTGTTTTCTGCTTTGAAGCTTCTTTTCCTCGTGAGTCTGACATAGAAATATAATGCAATTAGAGATTCAAGATAGGGCATTTCCAAGTATGAAATGCCTGGGGCCCCACAACGTAAAAACATCTTAACTTTCCTTTCAAAACCGCTAGTCAAGTCCATGAAAATATCTTCAGAAGAATGAATGAAATTATTTGTTTTTACATATTTCAAGTGCATTCTTTACAAGAGCAAAATTTAGAAAATGTAAGACACCAGATTGCCATGATATAGATAAAAGGGAAAATCCAGATAATCTTTCTGGTTTGATAAAAAATTAAACATACTAAGGTTTCCTTGCTCTTTTTTCCCAGAAAAATGGCATGATCTTTTTCTTTTCTTCTCTTTTCTGTTTTCCTTCTCTCTTATGTTACTAAGTTAAAAAGCACAGGAAAATATTATTTTAGGAAAGATTTTTGAATGTAAATAAATTTATATAAGAAAAATTTATGGCATCATAATTCAGAGATAACATTTCATGTATATGTATGGTTACTTTCAGTTATATTCATAAATTTTATGTGTTCTAGCATATAAGAAATATTTATAGCATCATAATTCAGAGGACATTTTATGTATATATATGGTTACTTTCAGTTACATTCATAAATTTTATGTGTTCTAGCTAGGTATAAAATATAAAATGTTATATTACAAAATATGAAATATTATATTTTTATTAATATATATTATATTATATTATTATATTATATTATCTTTCCATGTCAATGCATTTGTTTCTATCTATATATTTTAATGGCTGCATAGTATTCCATTGACTATACTATAATTGAAGTACCCAATTTCCTACTGTATGATGTGAGCATCATACACAGCTGATTCTTTTGTCACATCCTTATTTAGCATGGATGAAGATAAACTTCAAATATGAAGAATATTTAAGTCAACAGTCTGATGACTTCATTTGTGAAAACAGATTTGTGTAGCTTTTAAAAGAATTATCTTCATTTTTCTCTAATAAGTGTACAATATTTAAACACAGAATAAGTAAAAGCTGTAATCCCACCCTTCATGGGTAACCACTCCTAAGAGATTTTTGTTATGACAACTTTCAAGCATCTAGCAAAACTGAAAGAATCTTAGAATGAATGCCTTTATACCCTCCACTTATATTCTACCATTAACAACCTACTATACTTGATTTATCATACTTCTATCCATCCTTCTATTCATCCAAATATGCCTTATATTTTTATGGCAATGCAGTTTTAATTTGCAAGAGAAAGAAAGAAGGGGGGAGGAAAGGAGGTGTCAGAAGGCAAAAAGAAACGTACTTTGAGGCTCTTCGGAGACCTAGAGTCAAAAATACCGCTATTAAATGGAGTCACCATGAAGTAAGGATTGAGCACGAGTATTTCTGTCTTTACTCTGTTTGTAGATTTCTTAACAGTTCCTAGCCAAATAATTTTCATAAAAGAAAGTTAAAAGGAATGTTTTTGTTAAGGGTAAGGAGATAGGAAGACAATTATTAAATCGAATATCTAATATCAAGTTCTATACCACATTTTTATTAGAAATTTAGAATTACCTAACTTCCTTAGGTCTGTTTCAAAAGCAAATGCTGATGGAGATCTGTTTTTCTTGCTAATACTGCATCTTTGCACATAAAATACATGTTGAAATGAAGGTTGAAGGAAAAGAGGTAGTTTTCAGCATTGTGTTTAAGTTGAGAGACCATACGCTGCATATAATATTCACAGAGATTGAGCTAAAAATACAGCAGCAAGATGCTCAGATGCTTTATGGAAAAGCTGCCTCTAATAAAGCATTCTCTTTGCCCATTCTAGTTTTATAAATATTATGAAGCTCCAGGAAATATGAGCAGGATCTCAAATATATTCAATAAGGTAAAGAAGTGGTATTTTGGGATACAGTATTAATTTAAAAATCAAATCCTACTTTCTATTTTTATCTAGTATCCTTGTGCATGAGACATTATTTACAAGCATAAAATTACAATCTATTTTTAGCTTGACTAAAAATGATGGATCTCTAGTGTCATGGAAAAAGAAATCTAAGCATAGAATGTTTTAATACAAATGATGTCATTTGTTCTGCAATGCAATTCTTCCGCAAATGAGTTTTTTCTTTGTGTAATTCCAGTTAGGAGGTACTTGATTAGACACTTCAGTGTGGTTTGCATTGCCGGAAAAGAAAGTACAGGGGTAAAGGAGCCAATTTTTAAGCAAGGGGGAAGCCATGTTAAAACACCAGCATTTTTGGTTCATCCAAAGCATCAAATAATGAAAAAAAAAAATCACTGGAAAATGTGCACAGGTACCACCAGCACATGTGTTAAGTGTAGTAATTTATGTCCCAAATCAGGCAGCTCTAAATTTTTTGTTTCTTAGCTTGAAATAACAAGTATCTTACAAGTTATAACTTACTTATAAAAGAGTGTATGGATACACATTAGATGTCTTTACTAAATATTCTTTTGCTGTTTTGTTTTCAAAACATTTGTTTGAGATATAGCACACCAACAATATTCTGTGTGTGTGTGTGTTTTTTTTTAAGTAAGGAGACAAAGAAGAAGGCTAAAACTATGTTTAGAGCTTTTAAAAACACACCCAAAAGGTAAAAAAATTGAGAGCAAAACCAAATTTTTTCAACAGAGGTCAATGTTGTATACACCACTCTTTTAGAGAAGGTGTAAGACAACTGAATAGACAAGGTGGCACTAATAGAACCTTGAACAGGTGAGAGGGAAGGCGACAACCACAAATGTTAATGTTTTCAAAAGAGGTCTGATTAACACCATTAAGAAAGACAAGCTGATGAATGGTCATTTATCATGCTTTATAGAGCAATCAACAGCAAAGCCAAGGTTCTATACCCACAGTTGCTATGGTTTTCATGCTTGGAACAATAAGCAAGTACCTACTTACATGCCCAATACGTATCTATATGCAGAGGACACATCTCAACAGAAATGATAAGAAGACATAGTTTCTGTCCTTAAGAAGTTAACAGCGTATTTAAGAAGAAAGTGTGTGTTAATTATGTGCAAAAGTATGTGCATTGAAGATAAAGTAGAAATGTCTTGAGACATTAGAATGGCCTTTACAGAGACTTGGGCATTTAAGGAGGATCAGAAACTTACCAGATAGAATGAGGATGGGGAAGGCATGCCAAGAACAATATGACATATTTAGGAGAAAACTACAATTAACTCACTTGCACCTAAAAATGAGAGATCAATGGGGGAAGGAGGAGAATATCAGATTGATGTGAAAATACAGGCAGACAGAGCCAGATAGGAAATGACATTGCTTGTTGTTTGCCTCTCTGTGTCTTACCAAAAACATGGCCTTGTTTTCATATTTAATGTGCTTAGAGCTGCTTAGGGACAAGTTAAATCTGAATAGATAGCACTGTTAATTTTACATTATTACAAACTAAGGTGTTCTTTTATAATATTAGTCTGCATCATTTTTATTCTGGATATAGTATATCCGCAAATTAGATAGGATTATCCACAAAATTATCTGGAGCATTGAACCCCAATTGATGCTCTCTGCCATTAAGTGATTTAATTAAAAAATAAAATTTAATCAATTGAACTCATTGAATCATTTTGAACCCCAGTGTTCTAGATCAAGAAATCTTTTGAACCCCTGTTGAATTCTCCTCACTCTTCTTCTCAGGCTCCTCTTCCCTTGTTATACCCCTGATGCACTATGCTCACCACATTCTGTCTTGTTGTTCCATAGCTAATCATTGAGCATGCTTTTCCTCAGTATATTACTAAAGTCCCTTCCAAACCTACCCATTAAAGTATCTCTCCTTTGCTTAAATACCTTTACAGGCTCCTCTCTGCCTTAAGAAAAAAATATTGATGTCTTGGCAAGAAAGCAAGGCCTTTAATGATCTGCACCCTGATTAATTTGCTAACCTCATCTGCTACTTTTAGTATTTGCCCATTGTTCCAGCCTCTCTACACAAGTGACATTTCTTTGAATGTGTCACACCTTATGAGTTAGTTCCTTTATATAATTTGTTCCCTTTGCTTAAAACCTATCTCCTTGCTTTAAAACTTTAGGAACCCCATCACCTTTCCTTATTCCAGGATGAATTTAAAACATGTCTTTTGTCATAACAACAATTTTTTTAAAGACAAAAGAGAAAAAAGTTACTTTTCAAACTCTTTGTTACTACCCAAAATAACAAATCTTTTATACTATAGTCTATTAATGTTAACCAATGAAACAATTTATTATAAAATGATACCTAAGTATAATTCATTAAAATAACTCCCCAAAAAACCATTAGCTGAAATTGCTTTTGTCTCCCTGAAATAGATATGAATATTTTTTACTGGAACTGCATAAA